GCTGCAGCACAAAGATATTCCAAGAAGAGGCCAAGAAACCCCACTGGTTAAGAACCAACCTCCACAGCCTTTATTGAAAATAAAGAGCCATGAGCTGATTTGAATTATTACATCTTCCTACAGCTGTTCCCTTTTAAATATTTATCCTGGCAAACACCATCCCCGTTTTTTACAACTTATTTTAATTGTGTGACTATTAAGCAAACCAAAGCGTAAAATTGGCTCTCAGTGCTGAGATTTATGTGATTCATAGACCGGAGCTTATTAAAAAGGGAATCCACTGTGCAAACTAGCCTCACGAGTGCTCCACACTGTCTCTAGGGAAGGTGTGAAGTATTTCCCCTATTCCTGCCTGTGGCTGCCAAGCTTCCATAGTAAGTAGGACAAAAAAAACAAACAAGAGGGGCGCCTGGGTGGCTCAGTCATTGCGCGTCTGCCTTCGGCTCAGGTCATGGTCCTGGGATCAAGTCCTGCTCCACGGGAAGCCTGCTTCTCCCTCTCCCACTCCCCCTGCTTGTGTTCCCTCTCTCGCTGTGTCTCTGTCAAATAAATTAAAATCTTTAAAAAAACAACAACAACAGAATCTACCCATTCCCCTCATTCTTTTTTTCTTGTTAACAATCCTAATGAGCTTAGACTGGGTCAGGGATGCTACAGTCTTACAGGGGGTGGCAGAAGCTCTGAGAGGCTCACAAACAGAATCAGCTCCCTGGAGGATTTAGCATCAAGGTCTGAGGGAAGGACTTAATCGTGGGACTTTGAATAACTAGGAATAGGTAGGAGATATCCTGCTTATTTGTCACCAAGGTGATCCTTGGTTTGGATCATGGAATTGCTTTAAAACTTCAATAAAAGCAAGGGGCACCTGGGTGGCTCAGTCAGTTGAGTGTCTGACTATTGATTTCAGCTCTGCTCATGATCTCAGGGTTCTGGGATCGAGCCCAGGGATGTCCACGCCCCATGCTGGGCTCTGCGCACAGCACGGAGTCAGCTCGGGATTCTCTCTCTCCCTCTGCCCCTCCCCCTGCTCCCCTTCTCTATCTCTCTAAATAAAATCTTAAAAAAAAAAAAGACTTCAATAAAAGTGCTCCCTGGAAAAATGCACTTACAAATATTTACATGAATACTTGGTTACTCTTTCACTGTTACTACCCAAGCTGCCCTCATTTCCCCCTTGTGTTAAGTCAACTTAGTATTCAACTGACTGACCTCCCAGACTCTAAACAGCAGCCAGACATAGCAGTCCCGTTAAAACCCAAGTCTCTGCTCAATACAATCCACTAGCTTCCCATTTTACCTGCGATAAACGGCAACACCTCTGTTTACAAGGCCCTCTAGGGTCTGTCTCCAGATACCCTGCTGACCTCATCTCTAGCTCTTCTCCTGCACTGTAAGCACACCCATATCCTTGCTGATCGCCTAACATGACTGACACATCCTGGCCTCTGGGCCTTTACTTGATGTTCCCTGTACCCTAGAACACCATGCAGGCTCTCAGTCATCCTGTTCAGTCTTTACTCCAGTGTCACCTGGGGGGGGGGGTGCCTTCCTGACCTCTGTGTTTAAAACGGCAACTCCCCCACCCCCACCCTGCCTGGCACCTCCTATCCTCCTCTGCTTTCTTTTTCTCCATAGCACTCATCATCAGAGTACATACTATGCATTTTATTTACTGTTTATTATCTATCTCCCACACTAACCTCTGAACTCCTTGAGGAGAGTTTTTTTTTTTGTCTGTTTTGTTTCACTGCTACTCCACTTCCTGGAATAGTGCCTCACACAGAGGAGGCATTCAGTACTTGCCTGATGGATTCAACCCTGCAGTGATATGAATGTATCCAGGCTGGGGAGTAGAGGGGAATGTACATTTACTGAAATACTGCCAAGTGCCAAGCAGTTCCCAAGTTAATACCAATCATATCATTTAACTGTCACACCCAATCCTAGAAGGTATTTTTATCCCCATTTCCCCATGAAAACTGAAGCCCAGAGAAGTTAAGAAAATAGACGAAGATTACACAGCCAGTGGTGGAACACCATTCAAACCTAACTCTGTGGTTCTAAAGCCCTGCTATGCCTAGTGCACATTACCTCATTCTCCTTGGTTGCAGTTCCCACTTCTCTAATGAAATGTAAATGCCAGCTTTCACACCTAGTTCCATTTTACAGCGGGGAGATGGGAGAGGTGGGGGTGAATCAAAAAGATTCGGGGTTCCTTGGAGCTGTAATCAAGCAAAACAAACATTAAGAGACTGAGTCTTGGTAGGAATGCAAGCTGGTGCAGCCACTCTGGAAAACAGTATGGAGTTTTCTCAAAAAGTTGAAAATAGAGCTACCCTACAACCCAGCAATTGCATTACTGGGTATTTACCCCAAAGATACAAATGTAGTGATCTGAAGGGGCACGTGCACCCCAGTGTTTTAGCAGCAATGTCCACAATAGCCAAACTATGGAAAGAGCCAAGATATCCATCAACAGATGAATGGATAAAGAAGATGTGGTATATATATATACAATGGAATATTATGCAGCCTTAAAAAATGAAATCTTGCCATTTGCAACGATGTGCATGGAACTAGAGGGTATTATGCTAAGCGAAATAAGTCAATCAGAGAAAGACAAGTATCATATGACCTCGATGATATGAGGAATTTGAGAAACAAGACAGAGGATCATAGGGGAAGGGAGGGAAAAATGAAACAAGACGAAACCGGAGAGGGAGACAAACCATAAGAGACTCTTAATCTCAGGAAACAAACTGAGGGTTGCTGGAGTGGAGGGGGGTGGGAGGGATGGGGTGTCTGGGTGATGAACACTGGCAAGGGTATGTGCTATGGTGAGCGCTGTGAATTGTGTAAAATTGATGACTCACAGACCTGTACCCCTGAAACAAATAATACATTATATGTTAATAAAAAAAAGAGCCTGAGTCTTTTTGCTCATTAACATCTAACACTGTCAAAGTTACAATGTAATAAACATCCTTCTGAGGGAGCTGATCCTTTCAGAGTTTCATTCATTCCATTCACTCATGAGTTTATTTATAAATACTTGCTGAGCGCCTGCTAAAAGCCCAGTACTACACTGGGCATTGAGGATAAAGAGATGCATAAGGCCCAGATGTCACCCTCCACAAACATTTGAAGTCCAGCGTAATGCTGTCCAATAGAAGATCATGTGAGCTGAGTATGGAGTTTTACATCTTCTAGGCACTACATTTTCAAAAAAGTAAAACAGTTGAAATTAATTTTAATAATATATTTTTATACAGCCCAACATATCCAAGATATAACTTTAACAGGTGAATCAACATAAATATACTATTGATATCTTACAGTCTTTTTTTGTTTGGCAGCACATCTCTGAAATCAGTGTGCATTTTGCACATACAGCACATCTCCATTTGGACTAGCCACATTTCAAGAGCTCGATAGCCACATGTGGCTAGCAATGACAGCATTTGACAACACAGGGTTACGGAAAAAGGTAAAGTCAAGGGGCTTCTCAAAACAATGTAGTAAATGCAATGATAGAAGGATGACTCAGGATTACTCAACTGCCAGGTAGGACTTGAGCCTCCAGGGACCTTCCAACCCCAAAGACCTTGTTCATTCTGCATCACATTAGAGACTTTGCCCCACTCCAAACAGTGGGATTGTGGTTGTCCTCAACCTACCAACCAACCTTAATATACCCAAACAAAACTCATCCTTTTATCTCAAAAAACTACTTCTCATTTTGTATTTCAGTTGATGGCACCATTATCTACCTGCTCACTCAAGTCATTCTCATTTCATCTTTTGGTAAATGAGTAGTACTTTGTCTAGAAGATAATTTAAAATCCAAATATTTAGTATTTTTTAAAAATGTCTCTTCCTCTCCATCCCAGCTAACTGAGCGTGTTCAGGCCACTTTCATCTCTCACATGGATCACCACAAGAAACTTTTTTTCCAGCTTTATTGAGATGTAACTGACATACATCAGTACATAAATTTAAGCCCTACACAGCATAAAGGTTTGACTTACATACATTATGAAATGAATGCCACAGTAAGTTTACTTAGCATATACCACCCCATACAGATACAATAAAGAAAAAAATCTTCCTTAATAATATGGAACTCTTCAGGAATTTGTAGGTCATCCTTGCAGGGGGCCACGCTAATCTCTGTATGTTCCAATTTTAGTATATGTGCTGCCCCAGCAAGTACCAAGAACCTCTTAATTTCTTCCCTTGCCTCTGTCTCTCCCCTACCCAGCCTCAAAAGTAGTTACTATTCCATAAAGCCCTTCATGGTTCTCCATCCCCTACATAATAAAAGCAAAGCTCTTTTTCACATAGCACAGAATTCCCTCCAGAATCTGATTTTGGCTTACCTAACAATTTCCGATTGTTTGCTGTTCCTAAACCCCCGAACTCAAACTCTCTTACGTTCTCTGAGCCTGCTACTCTTTTGTAAAAAAAGCCATCCTAATTCCTCAAAAAGTTGACCTGAGGTTTAAAATGACACTACACTTTGAACAATACAATACTCTCCCCATCACTCCTTTACACTTTAAATCTGTATCTATATATCTAGTGCCTCTTTTCAACTCAATACTATTTATTGAATACTTACTATGTGCTAGGCACTGTGCGGGACACAGGACAGAGGGAATACAGAAAAATAGGTTGAAAGGAGCATTCTTTGCCTTCCCCAAGCTCATTACAATACACTTTCTCAACCATTAACTTTAAGAACTGGATCATCCCTAACATCATGAACAAATCTGCGAGTCTTCCGGAAGTTCAGGCCCGGGTGAGAGCCCAGCTGACACCACGTGACCGCACCTCCGCTTTCCTCCGCCGCGACACGGAGCCGGGAACCACCCTAAGCCCCATTCCGGTTCTCAAAGCCTCACTCCGCCTAACCTGACCACCGCCCACGTGGCAGGTGGGGGCGGGGACGCGTGGAGCAGTTTGGGCCCGGCCTCTGCGCCTGCGCGCTGCGGCGGGCTCAAGGACCCGGATTTAAAGAGACAGGCGCTACGACCGTCGCGGCGGTGCGCTGCTTGTGGGCGCCCGCTGCGAGGCCTGCGGTGTGCGCCGGAGTTGGGAAGGCAGGTGAGGTGCAGGCACAGGCAGGGCCGGGCAGCGGGGAGGGAGGCGTCCTGGGGCCCCGGGGGCCCGGGGCGGCCTGGGAGCTGGCCCCCTCGTCTCCTCCCCCGCGTGCCCGCCTGCCGAGCCCCGGGGCACACCCTCCGTGACGTGGCTGCCCCCCGGGAGCCCACGGGGGTTGGTCCGTAGCTCCCCGGGACCCCCGCGGCTCCGCGAGTGGGAGGGCCCCCCCGGGCCCCTGTGGGGCCGCTCTGGCCGGCCCGGGTCTGCACGCTGGCCGAGCCGAAGCCGGTGCTCGTTGGTGCGAGCTCGGGAGCCTTTCTCTGCCCGCCGCGTTCCCTGCCCCAGCCCCGGGCTGTGTCCTTAAGCCCCCGGCCTGCCCGAACCGAGGGACTCGCTTCCCCGCCTCCTCCGCGGGCGTCCCCGGGCGTCCGCGACGGCCAGGAGCCCCTGCCCACTCCCGGAAGGCGCTGGGGAAGACCTGCCCCACCCCCCACCCCCCACCCCGGGAACTGCGGCTGCAGGGCGCTCGCTTCCCCGCGCGGGCTGCGTTGGGGCCCCAGCGGTTTCCTTCTTGACCACCTTGGAGGAAACGCTGAGCCGCGGCCGTTGGGGGCTGCGGGGCAGACGGGCTTGCTCCGAGCAGCACGGTGCCTCCTCGTGGCCCAGCTGGGCCTGGGCCTCGGGTCCCGCGGAGGGTGGGGCGCTGCGAGGCGCTCTCTAGTCGGCTCTTTCGGGAAGGGGGGGCGCGCTGCCCAAACGCTCTCTTGAGGACAGTGTGGAAATTCGTTCTGAGCTGCTCTGATGGACCTGCCGGGCTCACATACCTCACCTCTGTAGTTCTTGAACTTCTCGGGGTTGTAGACCGTCTCTCTGACAAAGTGTACATTTATGAATTATGTGCATTTTGTGTACGTTTTCAGGGAGTTCAGAGCCCACCCACCTCAGCCCTTCCATGGACTCATTTTAATTTTCCCAGTCATCCCGTGAGGTAGGTATTATTTTCCATATTTAGAAATGAGAAAACTGAGACGCAGATGAGTTAAGGGAGTTCTCAAAAATAACAGCCCCTAAACTGGACAGCCACAGTCGCACTCCCATCCCTGATTCCGATCCACCTGCTTTCCTCAACAGGAAGTAAAGCCTACTTGTCGTTATAAACCAATAACAATTTCACTGCAAAGCATGTGCAGGTTAGAAATAATTTCCAGTATATTTAAAATTATAACAATGAAGATACTTTAGAAAATACGAATATAAAAAGGTGGGAGGATACCGTGTGGACATAATCCCTGCTTCCGTTTGGGGTGATTTATCAGTTCCTTTGATTTCTTGCCATCCAGTTGCTTCAGCATTCCCTGATTCCCTGTAGGCAATACATTATGAATAGGCTAATTGCATATAGGGAGCCTCTGCTTAACGGATAACTGCTTCACTGATGGTAATAACTAATGTGTCCTGAACCTGTGCTCTATGCCCAGCTCTGTTCTAAGGGCTTTACTCTTAGGGGTGCTTGGGTGGCTCAGTCGTTAAGCGTCTGCCTTCGGCTCAGGTCATGATCCCAGGGCCCTGGGATCGAGTCCCACATCGGGCTCCCTGCTCAGCAGGAAGCCTGCTTCTCCCTCTCCCACTCCCCCTGCTTGTGTTCCTGCTCTCGCTGTCTCTCTCTGTGTCAAATAAATAAATAAAATCTAAAAAAAAAAGGGGCGGCTTTACTCTTAGAATGACAAGTTAGGTAGTTTTGTTATCCACATTTTGACAGTTGAGAAATTGAGGAAGGGAGAGGTTAAGTAACCTACCAAGGTCACACAGCTAATGAGCTAGGATATGAACCCAGGCAGTCTGGTTCTAGGTTCCATTTAATTGCCTCTCAAAATAGGTCATCTGATTACATCACAGATTTATATAGTGACTTACTTATTTTCTGAGGATGGCATATATATGTTCTACTTCATGTTAAAAACTTCACGAACATGTAATTTTTCTTGGTGACTAAAAAGAAACTTCAGGATCTTGTAATACTTAGGAGTCATCATCCATTCTAAGTATCAGGTATGGCTGATGGCCTGAGGAAAGCTTTTATTTGGATTTGATTCTCTCGATTGTGATTTACTAGATGTACATGTGCACATTAGATATTTGAACACCCTTCTGCAAACTGAATTTTCCTGTTCTGGAGCTCTTCATCCTGTAGGCAATAAATCTTTAATACTTTGGGAAATGTTTGGTTAGCATGGACTGTATTAGGACTGTGGGCTTTAGGGAAAGTGGCAGCCTAGCTCCTCATTCATATCTCACTTTTCTTGCGTCTCACTCTTTCACGCAGCTGTATGACTTTGACTTTCAAGATCCTCTTCCCACCAACCCTCCGTGCACTCAGGCGAAAAGAACTGTGCCTATTCCGACAGCAACATCACTGGCCTGACAGAAGACAGTTCAGCCATTGGTCAGAAACAGATTTGCTTCATGGGCACTGCCTCCTCCAGAGAAGAAAGCCTGCTCTGTCATTCCAGGAAGGCCATCTAAGACCACGTGCCACCTGCCTTGTTTTGCCAGGGGCGCATGTGGGACTCTGCAGTGGCCCCTGTGAGATGGCCGAGCAACGATTCTGTGTGGACTATGCCAAGCGCGGCACGGCGGGCTGCAAAAAGTGCAAGGAAAAGATTGTGAAGGGGGTGTGCCGGATTGGCAAAGTGGTGCCCAACCCCTTTTCAGAGTCCGGGGGTGATATGAAAGAGTGGTATCACATTAAATGCATGTTTGAGAAACTGGAGCGGGCCCGGGCTACCACAAAAAAAATCGAGGACCTCACAGAGCTGGAAGGCTGGGAAGAGCTGGAAGACAATGAGAAGGAACAGATAAGCCAGCACATTGCAGGTGGGTAGGGACTACTGCTTTTTCACCATATGGTGCTGAGAGAAAAAGGAGAGTAGAGTCCCATTTTTTTCTTTTTTCTTCCTTCCTTCCTTCCTTCTTTTTTGTTTAGTTTTTTTGTTTAATATTTTGGAAAGAATTTCAAACAGAAGAGTTGTGAGAATAAGAAGAAAGCTCATGTTTGTTTTTTTTTTTAAGATTTTATTTATTTGAGAGAGCATGAGTGGGGAGGAGGGGGAGAGGGAGAGGGAGAAGCAGGCTCCCTGCTGAGCAGGGAGCCCGATGTGGGACTCGATCCCGGGACTCCAGGATCATGACCTGAGCCGAAGGCAGATGCTTAACTATCCAGGCGCCCAAGAAAGCTCACATTCCTTTTACCTAACATACCTGTTAACATTTTGTTCTCTTTGCATTATCATTTGTGTTCCTATGTGCACTGTTCCTCTTTCCACACACACACAGCTTGTTTTTTTCCTGAACCATTTTAGGGTAAGTTGCACATATTATGGCCTTTGCCTTTAAATACTTCAGTCTGTATATCTTAAGAATAGGAATAATCTTTCACGTGACCATAACACAGCAATCAACTCTGGTAAATTGATCCTTCATGTAATACTTTAATGCACCATTTGTATTCCAGTTTTGTCCATTGGTCAAACAATATCTTTTGTAGCTTTTTTCCCCTCCACTGTAGAATCCTAATCTGGGATCGAGTATCACATTTTGTTGTCTCTTTGGCCTCCTTTAATCTGGAACATTTCCATAGTCTTTCTTTTATGACATTGATATTTTTGAATAGAGTACCTTCCATCACCCCCTCTTATCTTTCAGTGTTTATCATACGGACTCACGGATTACTTTTTCTTGGTGGCTTATAATTTTACTGTATTTTATTAATTCCATACTTAATTATCCCATATTGGGCCCCTTGGGAAACCCTTTGAGCTGGTTTCTGTGTCCTGGATGCTGCCTTTTTTTTTTTTTTTTTTTTTTTAATGTTTTAAAGTACTTCTTTCTAAGCATAACAGTATGCTCTTAGGCTTACCTTTTTTTTTTTTTTTTTAAGATTTTATTTTTGAGTACTCTCTACACCCTACGTTTAGCTCGAACTCACAACCCCAAGATCAAGAGTCATGTGCTCCACCGACTGAGCCAGACGGGTGCCCCTCTTAGGCTTACCTTATATGTATTCTACCACAACTCTGGAACCAGCCATTTCTCTGAAGAATCCTGGTTCCTATTACTGGGGGAATGGCTTTCGAGACCAAAATCTAGATGCTGTGTATCCTAGTTGCCATGAGGTATCTTTGGTTTTAGGCCCTTTCAGCAGACAGAATTAGAAAATACATGTTTACACACAAAACACATGCACATACACACATAGATACATGTATATGCACGCATACATACACATTCACGTGTGTATATTTTAGAAATCTTACACCGAAACTTCCAAATCCAGTTAGTCCTTTATGACCTTCCATGTGCTCATCTTTAATATTCATATCTTCAATTAAGTATAGTTCTGGTCACTGTGGGAGAACTCTGGCAGTGGCTCTAAAAATGGGCAAAAAAGTAAAAATGGGCACCTATCTATCATTGTTCTTTGAGAGGAGAGACTTCCAGGAGAGAAAGCTACTTTGCATATACTTCTTTCTCAAGCTCCCCGTTCTGCCCTGCCCTGACTTGGCTATAGGCCCCAGCCTTTGCCACTTCTTGACTAATCTTCAGAGGAAGAGAAAAACAAGGTAGAGTCAAACTCACACAGCTCAAAAAACGGTGGGTGGGGCTTTCCCTGCCTGTGTCAACCTGATATGCTCTGTTCTCCATCTTCATTTTACTTTTTAGTTCATCTATAAATTGGGGTTAATTCCATGGAGCCGAGGTCCCCAGGTTTTATCTTTGGAGGTATGGGTTCTGATTTTTCCCAGATCTGGATATCATTATATATGGGATAAGAGGTGGAGAGTGCTGATGAAAATATAAGTTACTAATAGGAGTAAAGAGTAATGGGGTCTTTTGTCCCACGAACTGCCCCCCCCAGCCCCCCAGGACTGTCTTACCCACTGCCTCCACTCAAAAAGATGCCAGTCCACAAGCAACCTTGGAGTAATGCCGTGGTAGTAACTTATCAGCAAGGCTGTAAGAGCAGTTGTTAAATGCTTTGGAAGCTTTTCTCAGGGATCTTTCACTGAAACATATTTTCCCTTTTTTGGGGGTCCTACAGATCTGTCTTCTAAGGCAACAGGCACACCAAAGAAGAAAGCCGTCGTGCAGGCTAAGCTGACAGCCACTGGCCAGGTGACCTCTCCAGTGAAAGGTGCCTCACTTGTCACCAATAGCAATCCCCGGAAATTTTCTGGTTTTTCAGGTGAGAGATTAGAGATACTTTAGCTCTTATGGTCCTTTTAATTTGGAATCCTATTTGGGATTCTGGCTAAGAGTGAAAATTCCATGCTGTCTAGCCTCATTCATAATTCGCTTCCGTCTGAACAGAGGCAGGTAATGGCTTATTTTCAACATTCCACTGGTATAGCGTTTTTTTGTATACGTTAATCTCTATTGCAGCAAAAGATGTTTGTGTTTTCAAGACTTTTTCTGCTTGAAGTAGTCACCGGGGTCAGATGGAGATGATTATAACCTGCCCTGTAACTTCCTTGTATTTTGGTAATGAAGGGATTTTGAGAAATTGCATCCCTAAACTTGCCCAAACCAGAAATGAAAGTATGGAAGATGTCCTGCATGGCCTTTACGTAACAGGTAGCCTTGGGCTAGGGGCTTTCACCTATGTAGTTTCGTCTGTTCTTCAGTTAACCTTGGGAAGTACTTTTATGAGGCCCATCTTACAAAGAGAAAGCTGGTGTCTGGTTCATTATGGAGTTAGTATTGACGGTGAGGTCTGTTTGACTCCCAACACCTGTGCTCTTTTACCCTGCACTCTGTTGCCTCTTTTGTTTGGAGACATTCTTGTGACTGACTCAGGTAAAGAAAGTACAGCCAAACACACAGACTCAGAAGTTGTGGAGAGGTGGCTTTAAGTGCATGAAAGAAGCACAGACTTGAAGTTGGGAGACCTGGGTTCTGGTCCCAGTGCTGTCATGTGACAACTTGCTCACGGGGGCAGGTGGCTTTACCTCGGAGCCTCTGTGGCCACCTCTGTGAAGGGGGAACGGTGACACCTGTTGCCTTTATCCTGCAGTATTCGCACGAGGAGTGCTGGAGAGATCGCAGAAACAGTGCCTGATTCTTCTGGGGGTTTTGTTATTTTTAAAACTCTGCAGTTTGTTTTTTGTTTGGGGTAGGCCAAAGCCAGAAATACAGAAGAGTCCGGGTGGCAACAAGGACAGCACGTTCCTGGAAGGGTCCGGGTCCTAGGGAGGGAAATTTGGGAGGAGCTGAGAGAAATGGGGTGTTCTAAAGTCTTGCAACCTGCTGAACATCGACACTTTGGAGATTTTGTCCCCTAAAATCCTCTTCAGACGCCAGGTCAGAGATGAGGATGGATTTATAATTTACAGACCCCAGACAAGAGGAAGCTTACATCAGCAGCCTGCTTGCTGATGGCTCTGCTGCAAGCTTGCAGGATGAAACGTGCTTTGTGAAGAAGGGAAGAGAGGATCACTCAAGAGTTGGAGAGTTATTTGGGGGTGTCTGGAGGAACGTCTTGCTTGCTGACTGCCTTTTATTTTGGCACTGAGAAGTTGGGGGGGGTGGGTGGGAGTGGCAGAGGCCTGGGGGGAATGCCTTCTCTCAGGCCTTGGGCTCCTCATAGTGAGAAGAGATTCAACCAGGTCATCTTGAAGGCTTCTTTGAGCCCGAAAGTCTGCGACAGGGACAGTTTCCCACCAACTAACATGTCCCTTGGCTTCTATTTCCATTCTCATCCCCACTTTTCTGGGGGCAGCTATACCACTGCTTTGAGGTCCGCTTATTCTGTGCAGCACTTGCATAAAGAAGCTGGGCCTCTGTGGGTGCGAAGCCATTGTCTCTCTACTGCTAACAGCTGTGGCGCCTGGTGCCCTGCCTGTGCAACAGGTGAAGGTCTCCACCCCCCAGGCCGTCCTGGGCGCTTGAGTGAAGCTCCGTATGGAGTACCAGCAGAGTGCTTATTAGTTTGCCTGCCTGCCTCCTCAGTAAGGCAGATGAATCATCCCTGGTGTTTTTCTCTCCAACAGCCAAGCCCAACAACTCTGGGGGAGCCCGCCCAAGCCCTCCCCCTAAGGCAAGTCTGTCCTCAAGCAGATGTGACCCCAAGCACAAGGATTGTCTGTTTCGCGAGTTTCGGAAGTTGTGTGCCATGGTGGCTGAGAATCCTAGCTACAACACGAAGACCCAGATCATCCAGGACTTTCTTCGGAGAGGTTCAGCAGGAGGTGGGGCCCAGAACATCCTGGATGGGCTTTTCCTCTGAGGAGCTCAGAGCCATGGCCGGTTTCATGGCTGTGTGAATCGTACAGCTGCACGGGGCTTCATGCGTGGTTTAATACTCTGTTAATATCATTTTGAAATTCCCTCTCTCTCTTTTTTTGAAGATTTTTTTAAAGGTTTTATTTATTAGAGTGAGCGCACACACGAGCATGGGCAGGGGGAGCGGGGAGAGGGAAAAGCAGACTCCCCTCTGAGCAGGGAGCCCAATTCGGGGCTTGATCCCGGGAGTCCGGGATCACGACCCGAGCCGCAGGCAAACGCCCAACCAGCTGAGCCACCCAGGCGCCCCAAAGATTTTGTATTTTTAAGTAATCTCTGCACCCAACGTGGGGCTCAAACTTACAACCCCGAGATCAAGAGTTGCATGCTCTAACAACCGAGCCAGCCAGGCGCCCTTTGAAATTCTTAATAATTTTGAACAGAGAGTCCTGCATTTTTACTTCTTATTGGGCCCCACAAAGAACGCAGCGAGTTCTGCTCAGAGCACATTGGTATCGCTCTTCTTCTGCCCTTACTTTATCCCCAGGAGGCCAGAAAAATGTATTGCATTTGACGAAGAGGAAAGTTCCCTATCCTGCACATTTGATCAGGTTTTTGTGACCCACGTGCACAGCTGGAATAGAATCTTCCAGCTCTTTGATTCATCTGACAAATCATCACTGAGCATTTGTAGTGTGCTCCTCACCAGGGACACTGAACTGGAAGTGTGGCCCTGCCCTGTGGGAGCTCAGCCAGAGGAGGTAGACTTGGGAGCCACGAGCCACCAAATGCTGTGGCCTCTGTCACCGTAACAAAACTCACAGGGCATTGTGGCAGCCCAGACAGTGATGTAGACCTCTCTCTCAGTTCCTTGAGTTTATGTATTTGTTTAAGCTCCATTTCTCAAGAAGGCCTCCGTTCTTCTGTCTCCAGATAGTTTCCATGGCGACGTGTACCTGACAGTGAAGTTGCTGCTGCCGGGTGTTATTAAGAGTGTTTACAACTTGAATGATAAGCAGATCGTGAAGCTTTTCGGCCGCATTTTCAACTGCAACCCAGATGATATGGCACGAGACCTAGAGCAGGTCAGAGGAAAGGGAGGGTAGGCAGCGTTCCAGGTGGGGTTCTCCCAAGCTAGGCACCTGCAACCTCTTTTTTTCTGGTTGGGGCACATACTGTTCTGGGAAACTGAAACCCATTTGGGCAAGCTTCCTTTATGAGAGCTGAATGTGAGGCGACAGGCGTCAGTTGCACAAGGCTCCGAGGACTGCGGTCATACTCCTGCAGAGCCCCAAGAGGCCTGGATCTCGAGGGCCAGAATTTCAGACTTCCCACGGTCTCTCCTGGGCTTGCTGTTCTGGACGCAGCTTTTTCTTGCTTTTTTCCAGTACAAATTGGTATAATATTCAGCTTTTGTTTTTTCATGACTCCAGCTTGGGCAGCATGGAAAGTTTATATCCAGGCATCCCCCCCCGCCTTATCTGATGACCATATTTGTTTCTTAGTTCAAATTCTTTTTTTAATATGTGGGGGAGGGGCAGAAGGAAAGAGAGAATCTTAAGGCTCCACGCCCAGCGCGTGAGCCTGACGGGGCAGGGGGGCTCGATCTCACAATCCTGACTGAGATCATGACCTGAGCCAAGATCAGGAGTCAGGCACTTAACTGACTGAGCCACCCAGGTGCCCCTCTAGGTTCAAATTCTAACAGGAATCAAATTGGCTCAGTCCTGGATTATTCCTTGCGTCACCTCTCAGCCAAGGCAGGTTGGTGGCCAGATCCTATGGTGGATAGAGGTGCCCTTTCCAGGAACTGTGGGTGGGATAGATTCTCCAAGAATGAGGTTAATATGTGTGAGGTGGGGACAGAAGTGATGTTTGAAATCTCTGGTTCACCTTTAGTCCTGGGGGCTTGGGGGATACACTTGGCCACTCTGGGGTTGCAGCCATTTTGATTTTTGGAGACAGGGCGACGTGTCAGAGACAATCAGAGTCTTCTTTGAGCAGAGCAAGTCTTTCCCCCCAGCTGCCAAGAGCCTCCTTACTATCCAGGAGGTGGATGAATTCCTCCTTCGGCTCTCCAAGCTCACCAAGGAGGATGAGCAGCAACAGGCCCTGCAGGACATCGCCTCCAGGTGGGGGAGTTGCCCGATGGGGATGGGTTTGGGGAGATGGAATCACCAGGAAAGGAAGGTTTGGGGGTCCAGAGCTCTTCAAAGACCTAGTTGAATGTGCCTCACCCCTAGGTGTACAGCCAATGACCTCAAGTGTATCATCAGGTTGATCAAACATGATCTGAAGATGAACTCGGGTGCAAAGCACGTGTAAGTACCAGCCCCTCTCTGACAGCCAAGCTGCCCACTTCCTTTGTTGCCAACTGGTGTCAGGGCTTTGGAGTCCCAGTCTGGATTCAAGTCCTGATTCTGCCTTACTCCTTCCTGTGCAGCCCCTCACTTGACCTCACTCAGCCTCCCCTTTCTCATATAAAATGTCACAATACCCTTATCATGCAGTTGAAAGTAATGGAATATGTTCAGTAAATTGAGTATGAGTTGCTTGCCCCCTCTTTGCAAAGGCAGCCTCCACGTAGACCCAGGATCTCAAAATTGCTGCGTTTTCCAAGAGCATTTTCCCCTGCAGAAGCCTTTAGACAGGGGAACATAAGCCTTCGCCCTATATTGAGATCCCTCCTGTCTGCGAGAACTGACCGCTATCTAAAGCAGTGAGGTCAAAGGCAGTGGTTTTTGTTTCTTTGCTCCTGTCTGCCTTGACAGGTTAGATGCCCTTGACCCCAATGCCTATGAAGCCTTCAAAGCCTCGCGCAACCTGCAGGACGTGGTGGAGCGGGTCCTCCGCAATGAGCAGGAGGTGGAGAAGGAGCCAGGCCGGAGACGAGCTCTGAGCGTCCAGGCTTCCCTGATGACGCCAGTGCAGCCCATGCTGGTAAGGCTGCTGCTCCGGCCCTGCTTTGTTCTGATGCTCCAACCTTCCTTGTGAGCTGGGGGGCCAGGCACGGAGCACGTGCGGAAGGGTGTGTATCAGCGGGTCTGTAGAGGCGAAGGAGAAAACAGTGTGGTCTAGTAGAAATGTCTGCACTCGAGGCCCAGCTCGGCCAACAGCAGGCTGTAGAGTCTTGAAGGAATTGCTTAGCCTTTCTTGGTTTTTCATTCCTTGCGTGAATGCTGTATGAAACTTTCTGAAGCATCCACCTAGAATGGTTTACCGGTCGTCTTTCCTGTAGATGGGTGGCTGTGTTAAGTAACTCCAAGGGTTCTGTGACCTACCCCAAAGTAGCTCTGAGAGTTAGCGGTAGAGCCCAGCTCCCTAGTACAGGGGGCCTTGGCCTCTTTCTTCTGGAAAGAAGAAGCTTAAGGAATGAAGACCAGATGTGACCGAGATCATCTTGAGCCTCTGCTCATTTTGCGAGAACTGGGATTTCCTTTCTGCTTAGGTTTTTCTGTGCGACAGGGGCCCCCACCAGTGCTGCCCTGCCTAGGGAGAGCCTTGGGGCCGCTCCCGTGGGGTGCCGTGCCTTTCCTGAGCCCTTCTCATGCGTTACGTACTACAGCCTTCCATTAGACTTCTACATTTGGGCTGGGGAAGTGTCCTCTCTCGCCCGGAATGTGGGAGAGCCAGCCCCCAAGTAGTGGGATCTCCATCCCGGGGACAGGGCTCCCGGCACCTGCGGTCGTGGCCTTTCTGACTCCTGTAGGGACTCTTCTTGGAGTCTCTTCGTCAGCCTGTCATTTATTCCCAGAGTGGCGGGGGTTAGATCGCTTCATGGTGAACCACGCAGGCTTTGGAGTTGGGCCCTAGCTTCGAGCATCCTTCCTGCCCTTCACGAGCTGTGTACCTTTAAGTGAAGACTTAGGCTCTTTTCATCCATAAAATGAAATCGGCGTCTCTCCCGTCAGATAGCACGTCGAGGATGCAGTGAAGTGAAACCCGCCCCCAGGATGGTCGGTCACCGTCAGCTTGAGTCAGGTTGGCGTGGGGACGTGCACAAGCCCTCCTGGGTCCTGTCCCAATGGTCCCTGACCTCTGCCGCCCTGCCAGCCTCCTTGGCGCCTACGCTCTCTCCTCCCCTCTGTGTACTGGGTTTACTAGCAAGCCAGGGCCCTGCGAGATCCCGAACTACTGAAAGAAAAATGAAATGCTGTTGCAGTAGAATTTTATTTGCTCCAACATGGAGCGCATTTGTGGTCCTCAAAAAGCCAGCTCCTGTGTCTGCTGCAGCGACGCTGTAGTCCAAAGAGGGCACTGCCTAGCCTTGTCCACTCCGCTCGCCTCTTCAGCGGCCTGGCCCGAGGGTATCCTCCGGTTGGCAGGCCCCGGGACCTGGACTCTGGGGCTGTCCGTGCTGAGCGGCCCCCACTGAAGAGCACCTGTAAGGCTCCAGGCTTTTCTTTCCCCACCCCAAGGCCGAGGCCTGCAAGTCCATCGAGCACGCGATGAAGAAGTGTCCTAACGGCATGTTCTCTGAGATCAAGTACGATGGGGAGCGAGTGCAGGTGCATAAGAAGGGGGACCACTTCAACTACTTCAGCCGCAGCCTCAAGCCTGTCCTGCCTCACAAGGTACGGGTCCCTTCCTCTCTGCGGGGACTTCTTTCCCTTCCTGCCCCGAAGAACCTCAAGGCCAGGCTTCCTTGTAGTCATTTCAGCTCTGGGACGCAGTCGGGTTTACCCTGTAGTTGTGGAAGGAAAGTATTTATTTTTGGAGTCTCGGGGCCAGCCGAAGAGCCCAGACTCGGGTTAGTCAGCACAGGGCCCGCAGTGATGCCGGGGCAGGGAGCTCACCTGGCACGTGACTCGCTGTGCCTGTCTCCTGTGTTTCCGTGTCCTGTGCGCTCCCCAGTGCTAAGTCACCGCTCGGGGACAAAGGGCTGTGAGGCTGTCATTCATGAGTCTGTTTGATAAAGTTTTATCGCGGGCTTCGTCCAGGCCGGGCGCTCTTCTCAGTAGTGGGTGTACAGCAGGGGATCGTGGACAGACGCACCTGGAGGCTTACATTCTGATGTGAACGCAGTCCAGTGGGGACATACGAAAGTGCAGACGCCTGTCCTTCCCTTCGTTCAGGGGCATGAAGAACCCTGGCCCTCAGTCCTTCTCAGCCCCCAGGGCCTCTGTGAGTCTTTGGACTCTCCTCAGGGCGGAGCAGCTGGGACACCTGGCCCCAGTAGCTTGTGAGCGCTGGGACTTTCTGTGCTAGGACCGGCTGCATTCCTCAGAGCCCTGGGGGTGAGCGGATGAGTTGCGTGATTCCGTGCTGCCCTCCCCCTTGCCTTCCTGCTGGAGCCCTTCATTCCAGGTGTCCAGAGGAGAGCTAAGCACTGGCCTCCGCGGGGCCCCAGAACTGCTCCCGGGGAGCTGCCCAGGGGGCATCTCTGTTACGCAGAAGTTTGGGCCCAGCTTTTCAGAGTTAGAGCCCTTTTCCCTGCTCTCCCTCACCGGCTGTCCCTGGTCTCTCCTGTACTTGTGCTTTGTAAAGAGCTGGGTTGGGCATTGACGCCGAGCGGGACGGCAGGACAGACCTCTCCTGCCCCTGCTCTGAGCACCGTAGGTAGCAGGGGCCTGGGTGCCCTGCCCAGGGGAGGACTCAGGCCCCAGGCATGCTCTCTGACGCTCAGGGCTGGCATCACTTGGCAGGGGCCGCCCAGGGTTCCAGTGGGACCGCTCCCTGTCTGGAACTCTCAGAGACTGGGCTTCTGCCTGTGTCGGGAAAAACTCTTGGTTGCAAACATCTGCTCTTAATCATTTCGAAGACGGCTGTGGGTTTTGAGCTCCCACTCGGAGACCCTCCCGTCTCTTTGCTGCTCCTAAGGGGGTTCATTTCCTCCTTTCCATCCATCTTTTTGTAGCTCGCCTGTTCTCCCTCACAGTTGTCTGCCTGCCCGTGTTTCCTCCTCGTCCCGTGTTTGTCTGCCTCCGCCCCCTCCTCCGCATACTCAGGTCCCTGTTTCTTCCTTTTTCCTGCCAACTCTCCTCCATGGCCCAGAGTGGCTGCACCAGGCCGACCTCTTCCTGGGCCTCAGACGCTCCTCTCCTCTGTTGTCGGTGGCTGCCAAGGCCTCGGGCTGCTTTGCACATGAATTTGCCTTCCGCATGTTGGTGTTCCGTGTCCCTTCTCGGGCCTGGCTTTCGCTTTCTGGCTTGGCTTTAGGTCACTGCTGCCTGTTCCTCCCTCACCTGAGTCCCCTTTCTGCCCCCCAGGTGGCTCACTTCAAGGACTACATCCCCCAGGCTTTCCCCGGGGGCCACAGCATGATCTTGGACTCTGAGGTGCTCCTGATTGACACGAAGACAGGCAAACCACTGCCCTTTGGGACTCTGGGAGTGCACAAGGTACTGGCTCAGTGCCAGGTGTGCAGGAGCGAGCGGGTGTGCGCACATGCGCGTGTATCTGTGTGCGCTCTTGCTCTCGACGGAGGGGCATCTGTCACTCATTCAGGGTGGGGCTTATTCTTCGTTTCTGGACTGATTCTGAATGTAGCCCTGAGTTTAGACGGGTGTTTTGTTTTTTACGTAAAAGGAGCTAGTATTGAGAACTGAGAATCGGGTGCCCTTGTGGTCCAGGGGCTTCCGAACGCATACAGGAAGGACTGTTCTGTCCAGTGCTTCACGGGTCCATGTTTTACACCTGCTTATTTTTGGCCTCGTATATCTACTACCTCATTTTCCCTTACAGAAAGCTGCCTTCCAGGATGCTAATGTTTGCCTATTTGTTTTTGATTGTATCTACTTCAACGATGTCAGCTTGATGGACAGGTGAGAGATGTTTCTGGGTTGAGGTGGGGGTTCAGACTGGACAGGAGGGAGGGGAGGAGGCTGAAGCCTGTGCCTCTTTGGGCCCAGGAACTGGGGAGAAGGGAGCCGAGAGGTCGCACACTTGCCACACACTCAACTCCTCAACTCACTGTGAGAGCCAGTTTGCTGACTGCATTTCCTGAGAGCTTAAGTCAGAGAGGAAACCCAGATCCCCACAGAAGTTTCTGTGCTCCAGCAAAGTGGACTGTTGAGAGAAACAGACTGTGAACAGTGTAGGTTTTCAGTTTATCTCTCCACAAACAGCACCCATGGGGGCACGAGGCAGGTGCTTTTCAGCTCAGGTTTTGCTTTTGGAAGTGTCTGCCAGGAAGCTGGGGACTACAGGAGGCCTGGAGGTGGGACCGTCTGAGGGAGAATTAGCGGTCTTGACTTCACTGCATGCAGATTCTTGGGCCTGAGAAACCAGGATTGGTCCCTTGCACACCTAGACATGTGTCCCTGCCCCCACCCTCCCACACTGGCCCTGTCACTGAGGGGGGAGGAGAAAAGGGGAAGGGGAGAAACTTGTCAGGACTTTGGTCCTGAGAACCAGCCAGCCTTGGGCCTGGGGGCAGGGGGGCGGCTGCATGGATGAGAAACGAAAGTGGGAGTCATTTTTCATATGGGACCAGACGGTCTGGGCTAGAGGCCAGTCCTCCCGCAGCTCCGAGACAGAAACCGGAACTACGAGGATGAAGTAGCTTCGTACCACAGCTCACAGTTGTCCGTGTTCGGTCACGAGGGAGCCCTTGTCGCCCCTGACAGGCAGAACTGTGAGGCTGGGGGGGCTTCCCTCCTCAGCACTCTTTATGGGAGTGGGAGGGGCCTGACCTGACCTCAGCTCTCTCGTCCCCCTTAGGCCTCTGTGTGAGCGGCGGAAGTTTCTTCATGATAACATGGTTGAAATTCCCAACCGGATCATGTTCTCAGAAATGAAGCAAGTCACTGTGAGCAAAGACCCCACCCCCAGACAGTAGCCTAGTGGTTTGCAAGCAGGGCAGAGAGCCCGTTGGTCAGATGTGACGGGGAGAACGAGTCCTCATTTTCTCACGGGGCTGCCACCGTGTGTAGGTTGTCTCTGAGTCTCCACGTACGAGGGCAGGCCCTGAAACATCCTTCCTAGCTGGGCTCCCTGTGTCTCAAGGCTGCAGCCACTTTCTGGTTGAGAGAACGCCTGCTTTGCAAGCCCTTTGCTCGGTGTGTTCAAGTCGGGTTGTTTGCAGCGGGCGCTTTGCTAACATGCGAAAGGGAACCACCTCCACCTCCCCACCATGGTGCTCTCTGTTCTCACACCAACCTCAGCATCTCTCTGTTACTCTCAGAAAGCTGCGGACTTGGCCGACATGATAAACCGGGTCATCCGAGAGGGGCTGGAAGGGCTGGTACTGAAGGACGTGAAGGTGAGCCGCCCACACCCTTTGCTTGCTTGCTCCCACAGGCTCTCGGCACCCCCAGCCTTTCCCGCCCTGGCCAGTAGGGCGGTGGCGGTCTGAGGCGGCCGGGGCTGGGGGGGCAGCGGGGCTGCCTTTCCAGGGCCTGACGGGCTCTGTTCTGGATCCGCCCTGGATCCGGAGGCTGGGTTTGTGTATGTTCCCTGGGCCAAGAGCTAAGGGCTCTTGCTCAGAGTGGCCTGGGCACTTTGGTAAGGCCAAAATGTCAAGAAGGTAAATCTCAGCCTCCTGGAGTTCCCATTCTAGTCTGAGGTCTCTCTCTGCTCTTCTCTCAGGGTACATATGAGCCTGGAAAGCGGCACTGGCTGAAGGTGAAGAAAGACTATTTGAACGAGGGGGCCATGGCGGACACAGCTGACCTGGTGGTCCTTGGGGCCTTCTATGGGCAAGGGAGCAAAGGTAAGGATGGCCTCGGCCCCTGGGGCGCTGCTTCTGTGAAAGGCACCACTCGGTGTAGCTGGCCTTTTTACTGGCGTGGTCTGCTGGCACAGCTGATCCTGCCTCCCACAGTTGTGGGATCAGGGGCCCCGACCCAGCCCATGTCACCTCAGGCAGGGACATCTGACAGCTATAGACTTGGGCAGGGAGAGGATGGCAAGAATATCCCATGCTCTCTGGCACAAAGAAGCCCACCGTCAGCTAGTTTCTGGGGGCCTGGCCACTTTCTCCTCAGGGAAAACCTCAAAAATCTCCTGACTTGGGGGGAAGGCGCGCGGTCTTGAGTCGACAATGTGCCAAACACTGTTTAATTTTTTTTATTCCTCACCAGAGTCTTAACAAGTTATATACGATTATCCCTAGTTTCCTGAAAAGGAGAATGGGGCTCGTAAAGGTTAAACTTGTACGGCTAGTAAGAGGTAGATCTAGGAGGTGAGCTCAGCACTCTGATGCCAAGGCTCAGGCCTCTCCCCTCCAGCAGGCTGCCCCTCACCGGGCCTCCATCCACAACTTAAATCACCCCCCCTCGCAGGTGGCATGATGTCCATCTTCCTCATGGGCTGCTATGACCCAAGCAGCCAGAAGTGGTGCACAGTCACCAAGTGTTCAGGAGGCCACGATGACGCGACCCTCTCCCGCCTGCAGAAGGAACTGGACATGGTGAAGATCAGCAAGGTGAGCAGGGGAGCTGCTTGGCCCGGGCCTCTGGACTGGACCTCGTCCCCAAGCCTGGCTGTGCTTGGCAGACGGCAGGGATTGTTCATCTGTGTCCGCAGAAAGGAGGGCCGCTGCTTGGCCGTGGGAGCAGTGCAGTAGGCCTTCAGAGGCTTTGCGTGCCCGCCTTGTGGAAGCTGGCCCGCATGCCCCCCTGGCCACGCCCTCTCGGGGCAGGGAGGATCCCATGGGGTGAGGGTCAGCTTTTTGTGAAAAGTTGCCTCTTCACACAAGCCCCTGACAAAGGGGGGTTTACATTTCGTTTTGGCTTGGGAACGGCCCAGGATAGCATCTTTTTTTTCTCCAGGATCCCAGCAAGATACCCGGCTGGCTGAAAATCAACAAGATCTACTATCCTGACTTCATAGTCCCAGACCCAAAGGTACCAGCCCCGTGGCGTGGGCTCCCCCAGCCCACAGAATGAGCTTGCCGCTTCTCTAGCACCACAGGCACGCCCTCTCAGCCCAGGATGGGGGTCTGGACTGTTCCGGCCAACGGATGGGCCGGCCAGTCAGCACTGAGGAATGGTCCTTAGTAGGGGCAGGAGGAGATGAACCATCCCCTAGACGCAGAAATGGTTTGCTCTGGAAGCGACTGGGCCCATTCCTTCCACGCACTGACAGAAACTGGGGCCCCAGAGGAGAGCTGGAACTTGCCTCGGGTCACATAGCAGCAGCAGCAGCAGTGGGACTAGGACCCATCCTCCCGCCCGTCGGCCAGTGCCGGTCTGCGTTGCTTCTCGCTGGTTGCGGGCAAGTCTTCCTTCCTAACCGGCGACTGAACTCCTGACAGAAAGCTGCCGTGTGGGAGATCACGGGGGCTGAGTTCTCCAAGTCTGAGGCGCACACGGCCGACGGGATCTCCATCCGGTTCCCACGTTGCACCCGCATCCGTGATGATAAAGACTGGAAATCTGCCACTAACCTCCCCCAACTCAAGGTGCCAGCTTCCCTTGCACATGTGTCCACCCCCGTCCCAGCCTTGGAGCCCTGGCTCTCTGGCCTGCTCACGCGTTCTCCTTTCCCCGTGTGCACGTGCGTGTATGTGCACGCAGCACCCCCCCCCCCACATCCGCTGAGACGGGGCTAGGAGGGCAGTAGAGGGAGACCCGCCGGCTTCAGGGCCCCCGAGGAGGGAACTCTGCAGCTCTCAGCCTCCGCCCTCCTGCTCAGGCTGGGCCCCAGGCTGTAGTCTCCGTTGCTGATAAGAACCCGGGGACAGAGAACAGTGATTTGCACTGACGACTCACGAAATGGCCGGAGTTTAGAAAAGCACCAAGAAAGCCAGCTTCTATTCCCTGCCCTTTGTCTCTGTCTCCTTTGTTCCTCGGCCGCGGGCCCGCAGAGGCTGGTGGCTGGGAAGGGGTTGAGCGCCGCTGACGTCTGTCACCCCCCCCCCCAGGAACTGTACCAGCTGTCCAAGGAGAGGGCCGACTTCACCATGGCGGCCCAAGAGGAGGGGAGCTCCACCACAGGGGGCAGCAACGGAGAGAACGGGGGTGCCTCGGGGCCTGCGGGGACTCGCAAGGCCTCCAGGGCCTCCCCGAAGCAGCCCTCCCCCGGCACCAGCAAGGCAGGAGGGAGGCTGAGTAGCCCCAGCAGCAGAGGCGGTAAGAGGAGGGAGGGGGCGGGTGGTGAAGAGCGGGCCGCGGGCGCAGAGCTCACAGGACAGAGCACGGGGTTCGCTGTGCCCGCCGCGGCAGGCCTGGACCGCATTCCTGTGGCGTGTCCAGCCGTGGGCGCCCCCCCCCCATCTGCTCAGCCCACCTGTGTGCCCGGCGCCTGGGGGAGCGCCTGTGGGACACCCGGGGAGAGGCCGCCTCCGAGCCAGAGGCCTCCTCGGCGCCCAGCAGAGCCAGGGCCTGGCCCTTGCGTCGGCTGCCCCCCGCCTTCCGAGCTCCCATCCCGGGCTCTCCCCTGCAGGCCAGCAGCTGACTGTGAAGGGGGGCCGGAAGCGGAAGGCCCCCGAGGAGGCCCCCGAGGAGACCCCGTGCCCAGCCAAGGTGAGGGGCAGAGTGTCGGGGCCCGGGGCCTCTCCTCCAGAGAGGAGCGGAGGCCTTGTGAGGTGTTGTGGGGACGAGCGGCCAGACCTCCCCCCTCCCCCGGCCCGGGCAGGCCCCGCAGGATGGCCGCTCCACCCTGTGCCCTCCCGTTGCCTTGCAGAGGCGGCCAGCCAGCCCGCAGAGCCGAAGGAGAGCCGCGCCGGCAGGCGGGAGCTAGAGCGGCCCGGCCTGGGTGACAGAGGCCGCAGGCTGCCCCCGGGCTGCTGGTCTCGAGTCACAGTTTATATTAAAGACAGGGGACAGAGCCCGGTCTGGGTGGTGCGGCTGTGTGAGTTTGTGCTCAGGGCCCAAGCGGACCCAGCCTGCGGGGAGCGGGTGTCGTCCTACCTGCCGCGCCGTCCCCTGGGGCCCGCCCTTGTTAGTCTTCGGTTTGAAAACAGCTGTTGGGCCCCTCCTGGAGGCGGAAATTAGGCTCAGCCCTGGGGGGACCGCTGGCCCAAAGGTACCGAGGTACACACTGGGTCTCTGTACACGTGGTGGAGCCGCACCCACGGCCCTCCTGCCCCCAGCCCGGTCCCCAGCAGAAGCAGGCAGTCTTCCCCATCTTTTCCCTACCTGAAGCCCTTGCCCCCGTCCTCGGCAGAGCGGGGCTGCTGACCCCCAAGTCTGGCTACCTGTGTGCCGCGCACTGCCCCGTCCACCAGCACCCCGGAGTCCGGGAGCCACTGGCCCTGCCCACTGGATGGAGCCCGGAAAGACCCACTCTCCCCTTCTCCAGCTTCCCAGTGTGGGGATCCACCAGCACTGCCTCCTTTTCCTCTAGACTGGGCTGGGGGGCGGTCCTCTGGAATGGCTGGGGGACTGGGGTTTTGATGCCTGGTCCTTCCCTGCAGTCTGCTCTGAGGGAGGTGGTGGTTCCCACCCCCCCCCCCCCCGGCCTGGGCTGACCGCTGTGTGTTTGCAGGTGCTGCTGGACATTTTCACGGGGGTGCGGCTCTACCTGCCACCCTCCACGCCAGACTTCAGCCGCCTCAGACGCTACTTTGTGGCATTCGATGGGGACCTGGTGCAGGAGTTTGACATGGCCTCAGCCACACACGTGCTGGGTAGCGGGGACAAGAACCCTGAGGCCCAGCAGGTCTCCCCGGAGTGGATTTGGGCGTGTATCCGGAAACGAAGGCTGCTGGCCCCCTGCTAGGACCGTGGCCCTCCCTTGCCCTCAGCCGCACTCACTGGGGGGGCCGGTGGGCCGGCGGGTGACGGCAAGGACACGGGGGGGGGGGGGGGGGAGGAGATGGCCTTTCTTCTCCAAGCAGTGCGTCTTCCAGAACCCACCAGCTGTGCTTGGTCTCTTCCCGGCCAGGACTTCGGGGACTTACGGCTGTGGGTGCGGCCAGGGAAGTCCGTGTCTCCTGCTGGTTCACCATAGATCTTTCCGATCTGGGTGCTGGTTTGGTTGTCTTTTTGTTTTTTTTTAAAAGAAGTTTTTTTTTTTTTCCCCTATAAATAAAATACCTTGCAGTTATACCCAGTCCTCCACCCCTTCTCCCCCCGTCGTCCCCCTAGTGGTAAGGCACAGAGTGACGCTGAGCTGTTGAAGCTCTGTCCGCAGAGCCACCTGTCCCTTTACTTGCAGGCTCCTTTTAAAGTTGTATTTAAAAGACTGCCTTCAGAAATGCTGCTTCTATTTGGCAGGACTTGTATTCAGCTTGGCCCTTTCCGCCAGGAATGAAGGCTCCTTTGAAAGAAAACAAAATGAATTTTATGACTCTATTCTCTGTGTTCTCCTCTTACAGCGTGTGGGTCCCAGTTTGAAGGGAGGGAACCAGGATCAGGTAGGAAAACGGGTCCTTTATAAAGAAAAGGGAGGTTTTGGAGCTACTCCTCTGGGGGATATAGGACTCCAGGAGGCTCTGCCTCCCCCAAATCTGGAAACAAGACTGGTTTTTAAGATTAAAAAACCCACTCGAGGACAAAAACCTATACAGCCTCCTTACCAAGAAAGGCTCCCGTGCCACCCGAGGCTGGTTTATTGGAATAAAAGGCAGTTTCGTGGAGAGGAGTGCTGTTCAGTAGAACTTTCTGTGGCAATGGAAACACCCTGTAAATCTTCACTGGCCAAAAGAAACTAGGCACACTTAGCCACATGTAGCCACACGTCAGGTGCTCAGCAGCTGACACAAATTGAGGAACTGAAGTTCTGGTTTTACTTCAGCCTTAACATGGTCACGTGTGGCTACGAACTGCCCCGTTGGCCAGTGCGGGGCCGGGCCGGGCCTGGTTCACACCTGAGGTACTCAACATGGGGGCCTCTGTCCGCCCCCGGATCTGCAGGCTGCTTCCAAGAGCAGACGAACTCAGGCTACCTTACGTGAAGCACCCGGCACAGGGCCTGGCACACAGTCGTGTCGAGCTGGGCCCGGGCCTCTCCCTCCCCGGCTCCCGGCAGAGCCCCGCCGCATGCGGCCAGCCTGTCGCTGTCGCACTCCCAGCTGGGGCAGGCCCCCCAGGTGGTCCCTTCCTCACAGACTGGCTCCCTGGAGTTCAGTTCTGCTGACTCGTGAGTCTGTTCTCTTTTTTTCTTGCTGTCAACAGGTTGCCAGCCTTGTCTGTCCATCCTCTGTGAGTTAAGGTAATGAGACTCAACCTCTGGAACACGCTTTTGTGTCTGGGTCTCTTAAGATCGAGGGCCACTGCCTCCCCTGGCCCTCCTCCAGTGTGCTCGGCTGAGGTAGTACTCCGCCGGGAGCCTGCTGGCCAGTCAGCCCGGAGGCCAGCTCTGACCCGATCTGGGTCTGTCTACCTGCCGGCTAAAATGTTGGGAGGAAGGGACAGGAGGGGTTGGTACCGCTCTGACTCTGGCCCGGCACGTTGGTGTTTTGAATAGGCACCGTTGAGTCTGGCGTGAGTATGGGGAGTAAGACCATCTTCGTTCCACCCTTTGTGGAGACAAAACCGCTCCTCCTCTGAGCGCTGACCTACATAAATTTCCATCCCCCCTCCACCCTCCTCAGGCCGAGCCACCAGACCAGGCAGCAGAACAAAGCATTTCCCTTAGGATTCTGCCAAAGGACACTGTCACTGCCCTTTGACCCGGCTGCCCAAGACCCAGCCCCCCTGCCCTGACCGGCGGCTTACACTCAGGGTGCACCACCGCAGCCCCGCAGCCCCGCCAGCCGTGCGGGAGCAGCTCAGGAGTAGCGCGGCCTTGCTGGGTGTGTTCTCCAGTTCCCTGTTCAAGGTGTTCGGTCTCTTTCCTTCCGGTCTTTTTCAGGTGTGTTTTTCTTTGCTGCTGAGATTACGTTGTCTATACAATCCTGTATTTTCACGGATTACCCCCCCTACCCCCCCCAGGCAACAGCATCTTACACCTCCCCCGCACCGTGCTCGAAGCCTGCCCTCCTTTGAGCCTTTGTTTTCATGCTGCTGGTTGGCAGTGGACGGTAGGTCGTCCTGGGTGCCCAGCGGGTCAGCCACACAGAACAAGGAGGCCAGAGTGCTGCAGCTCAGCTTCCGGCCTTCACAGCCTCTGGGCAAGGTTCCTTCCTCTTCTCCCCTCAAGTTCCAAGGCAGATCTGCACATAATCAAGCTCTCCCCACACAGGCCCATGCGCACACCAGCTGTACAGCTATAGTATCCGAAAGCTACCATTTGTCTCCCAGGGTCACCTGCAGACTTAACTGAGCACGCTGGCTGGCCTCCGAGTCCGCTCTACCCACATCTTTAAGGCCCATCTACACGATAAGTGTCAACGTCTGACCTCACTTGGTGTTTCTTCCTTGGTCTTAAGGCTGGTCCTTTTGCTACATAGTTCCCATCCTCTAGGCTATGCCATGGCAGCTCCCACGTACTAGTTGTGAGATCTCGAGCAAGTCAAAACACAACCGAACTTCAGTTTCCTCATCTGTTGGAACGGGAACGGTCACATGGCCACATGGCCCAAGCACCTCCACAACTAATGCGGTCTCTCAGGAGCCTGGGACCAGCCTGTGGTCTGTCAACTCTCTTGTCAGTCTTAACTGTCAGACCTCTGGTGTCCTCCACCAGATCAGACAGGCATCTGTAGTGAAATTTTATTACAAAATTATAAAGCAGAGCTCTGTAACAAAAAAATACACATTTGGGTTTAACACCCAAGGAAGTCTGAGAGAATCTTAATATAAGCCACATCTGAAAGATTTCAAATTCATACAACATAGTGCACGGATTCCCGTACAGCTTATTGTTACTAGCTCGGATCCAGCCATTCCAAGGCATTATGAACCAGTCGGCTCTCCCAAGTCTTAAAACAAGTCTCAAATGAAATCTCAGAACAATCACAGCCAAAGCTACAGAGTAACTGGAAGAATTAAGATGTTGCATGATAATTAAGACCAAGGATCCATAAGGGGCAAGGGAGAGCACTCAGATAAAAAGTTTTCTACCTAGGTTAGATAGTAACTGAAATGGGATCCCAGCCTTTATTTGGTGTAATAATGACGAGTAACAACAAATCAGGGTTGTTAGACACCTTTTTTCCTGAATGGAAACCTTCACCAAAAGAGATTGAGAGACTTAAAGGCAAGTTCTTTCTCCAAACTGAGTAAATGATACCAGTTCTAATTCTTACTGAGGTTACTAAACAACCTTCCGGATATTATTTTCAACTTCTGTCTAGGAGGGAATGTGGGAGGTAGGGAGAGGTAAGGCCTCAGCAGTGAAAAGTTTTAAGTAGGGAGAGAGCCAGCTTCTGCCCTGAAGTTATGACTAGATCGTAACTGAGTTGCATATATAGAGAGAGACCTGTTTCACAGCGGAATCGAGAAGTAGCTGAATCCTCTGCTAAACTGGCAGGCATTGTAAACTGTAGTATGTACTGTCCAGCAAAAAGGTGCAACGTCCTCTAAGCAGACCTCTCCCTTGATTCCCCCGATTCCTACAAAGGCTGTCCCAGAATCAAGTCATCCAGGACTTGGTATAATGTCGAGGTAAGTGGCCCAGTGTGCAACTGACAACTACTTTACGAAATAATTTCATTCCTCCGAAGGGGAACAATGGTTGATGATGGGGGAAAGCCAAAGTATGTCTGTACCAATAAGCAGGTCCCCTTGGAGGTTTCCCACTGTTTTCCAAAGTCCTGACTGGTTCCAGTCTGAGAGAACTTGACTGCATAGCAGGGATGGGATGGGGTGGGGGGTGGCCTGCCAAGGCCCTCAGGTGCATTGGGGTTGCGTAGCTCACCCACAGGTAATGGCAGCCCACACAGCTCCTTCTGATAGCATGTGTCTGTTCTTGGCTAAGCTTCTCCAGCAAACTTAAGCCCTTTGGCTCTTCCAGTGGTAGAACCACCCTAAGAGGGCTCGAGAATATCCAACTCATTGTACGGTCTTTCCTAAAGGGCCTGGAGAATGCTTCTTCCAGACCTGCCCTCAAGTCAGTAGGCTGCGAAAGGAAATGGGAGCAGGGAGTCCCCACTAACCTGGGGAATTAAGACTTGCAGCTGTCTGCCCCAGGGCTGAATCCAGTCTCATTCAGTACCTTCAGATACCCCTTAGCTGTTCAGTTTTGGTCTCCAGGAACTTCACAAAAAGTGTGGCTAGAGAAGAGCAAGGCTCCTCGCCTTAGTCTTTATGCCTTCAGTGAGACCCTGTTTAAAACCTCCGTGGGGAAGAGAGGGACTTCATTCTCTGGGGAAAGTCGTTTGCAATTCCTTTGTGTTGGAGAAGTCAAAGTTAGGCAGGAAGCCACTGCTTCCGCCCAAAACTTTCCCTTTTCTCATAAACTAAAATTAAGGATGGCGCACAGGCCCTAAACTAAAATTAAGGATGGCGCACAGGCCCTAAGAGCAGCAGAGATGATCCCCGGGCCATCTCACGCACATGACTCAAACTTCCCTGCAGATGCTTTCTTTGCTGGCTCCCAAGGTTCGGTCAGGAGACTCACTGCTTCCAATCCCAGCACTTAAGGAAGCAACTGTAAATGACTTTGAAATTTTTCAGTAGCATTTGTGTTTCATTTCTCACCAGAGAAAGTTTACTGGTCCAAATTTAGTCTTAAGGAGGATCACTATTGGTCTGGTAAGCTAACATCTTTTTGGTCTGAAGAAACGAATTTTAGGCAATGCAGCAAGAGACTAGCAAAGCTGGTTAAAGCACAGAAAGCCAGAGAGACCAGAAATAAATCCAAATGTGCTGGGGAGGAAGAGAACCATTTCTACCAGGACTTCTGACGGTTGGAATGCAGATAGGCGGCTCAGGGATGGCCGGGGTGCAGGGGGAAGGGGAAAACTGTTAAGTTTACAGAGGAAGGGAGGAAGATCTAGTCCAAGTTCTGGAAAAGTCCTCTCTTCATCAATTACCATCATTACCCCAAGATCACTGGAACCAGGGACTTGCCCACGCGATCTGTACCAGTTCTCACCAGCCTCGGGCTCCGCCGGCTGAGAGGTGTGCCACCGAGGCAGGACAGGCATGCCCAGAGGTGACCGCATCTTTGCTCGAAGATTCTCTTGTTAGCCTGCCCCTCTGCAAGCTGGCCAATCTGGAGCCCAGACCCTTCCAGCTCCATCCCTGTAAGGCACTGAAGAAGCCGGCGCCAGCCCTCAGGATCGGAAGACATGCACGGCTCGGATCACGTACTGCCGGCAGATGGGACACTCGTTCATGCGCTTGCCGCACTTGGTGCAGGTGACCATGTGGCCGCACTCCAGCAGGACACAGTCAATGGGTGAGTCCATGCAGATCCTGCACAGGTTCTCCTCCACGCTGGGCGGCACCGCTCCGTCTGGACAAACAGGGCAGAGAAGGGGTGGAGGGGAGAGAAGACCGTAAGTGCAGGGGGCGGCGGGGGGACGGAGGACAGAGAGAAGGGGCATGCTGCGGACACACCCCCAAATCCACACACTGCCCTCAGCTAGAACTCCAGGTATCAGCCCCCCGCTGCTTGTTTCATCCACACCTCTACTGGTCAGGCCATAGAGGTGCGGAATAAAGTACTTGGAGATCAAATACAACCCAGAACAGGACAGCTAAATAAGGCAGAGTCCTCAAGGCTTCAAAGAATTTTCAGACAGTTGAGGCTGTAATACGGTAAGTGGCACTTAGGGACTCATTATCCCCCGAGGCAGAACATGCTGAAAAGATAAAAACTGTTTCTAAAAAGTGTGATACAAATGGAACTGTAGTGAATGGCTCATGAAGGATCGCAAGGCTTCTCAGTAAACCTATCCCCAACTGAATACAGCCAAGGGTCCTGGGGGGCCCCTGTGCTGTCCCACAACCTTCCCCAGGGCTTCCTCTGAGGAGGCTTCCTGGTGGAAGAGCCCAGCAGAGATCACAGCTCCCTCTTCTGTGCTACCCCCACACCAGCTTCTCACATGGAATTAAAATGTCTAACTTCTTAGCTCCCCCATGACACTCTGAGCTCCTTAATTCAACCAATTCGCTCAATTTCTGCAACTATATACTTAGTATTTGTTGGATGCTCTGAGGTCAGATCTTCCTCTTTGAATCCCGAAAATGCCAATCACGTGGTAGGGGTTCTCGAAATGTCTGATAAATGAACGCCTCCCAAGGGAGTCCGAACAGCTCACATTTGTAGAATGCTGCGCCAGGCAGGGTCCTAAGAGTCTTGCATATTTTAACTCTGAATCCTCGTGAAAACTACAAAGTAGGTACTCTTATTACTCGTTTTATAGACTTGAGGCCAAGGAGTTAAGTGGCTTGCCCAAGGGCACACAGCTGCTAAGCAGAGGCAGGATTCAAATCCAGGCAGGCAGGCTTTCTGGGCAAGTGGCCTGACGACAGGGACTGTCAGATCAGTATTAACTGCTCAGTGCACGGAGTTCTCAGTAACAGCTAGCAGGCTGATGTGAGCGGGGAGGTGCGGAGGGCAGGACCAGTACCCCACTTTAGTGCAAACTGAACAACCTTCATGTCCAAAGACCTAGCCATCCCCAGCAGGTTTTAAATGGTGGCCTGAAGCCCCAGCTGGGGCTCCATGCTCAGTGCTGAGTCGGCTTGAGACTCTTTCCCTCTCCCTTCCCCTCTCTGCCCATCCCCCTACCCTGTACACTCGCTCTCTCATTCTCTCAAAATAATAAAATCTTTAAATTGTAGCCTGAGCCAGGGAGCAGCCGTAAGTAGGGAGCTGGCTTCGTACCCGTCACCTGTCCCACTCCACAGGGGAGTTCTCTGTACTCTGCTGCCCGGCACTTTCTTCTGCTTCCTAGACTATTCAAAAAGTCAACACTTAGGGGGGCTAGCTGTGAAAGGCAGTGAAACCCATTTACCCCTCCGGAGCAGCTGTTGGCCCTAACAGGGGTTTGGAAAAGGGCTGAACTGTACATATAACTGAACTGGAGTGAATTATAGAATATCATATTAATTTTCTTAGGAATAACACACTCAACCGACTCAGTTACCAGTATTCCCCCAGGGAATCAAAAAAAAGGGAAGACAGCAAGTGGAACAGCCCGATCTTGGTACTGGGGGGGGGGGACCAGAACCCACAAGGGTTTTGGGGAGCTAAGAAATCAACTCTTCAGGATTTAACAGCTGGAAGACTGCCCCATCCTGAGCAAAAGGCCATTTTGCCAAATAACAAATCTGGAGTCTTCTGAAAGTTTTAAAATGGTTTGCAGGCCCCCAACGCTACTCTGAGAACATTCTCTCTTGGGGGAAGAGCTCACAACCACACAGCCTTGAAGCTTTCAAAAAGACAGAAGGTATTTTAGAATGAAGCCCAGACCCAGCCAGATGCCTGCAGTGCGTCCTGGGGTCCCCAAAGGCCCCCTGGTGGTCTTGAACACACTGATGGGTGTGTAGCAGCTGAGGTGGTATATGTGCGTGTCCAGAGAGCACACAGGTGACCCCTTTCCTGCTCTGTCTCCAGAGCAGCTCTAGCCACCACCCAGCCCTGTACAAACAAGGCTCAGGTCACCTCCCTTTCTTTCTGGTTGGTACCAGAAGTTGTCAAGCATCCCAAGTGATCTCCCTGAAGGTCCACAGAGACCCTCCCCACTCGGAACAAAATGGAGTGAAAACCGTAAGGGAAGGAGTGCCGTAGCAGCAGGGGTATGAAAAATGAACCGGATGCGACACATGCCACCACTCACTTTGCTAAATACTTTACAAATGCTCACTCCCGAGCTCTGGCAGCCCCGAGACCTGCAAATCAAGCTGTCCCTGGGTCTGCCACTCTTCACCCTTCCTGGTGAGGCAAGAATGAGAATTTTTAAAGATGCTGAGAAGCCCTGCTTCCCTGTGCATTTCCCCCAGCTCACTCTCTGGACGCCACTACGCTCAGAATTCTTAGACTGCTAAGAGGAAGCAGGGTTGGCAGAAGGGAAGGACCACAGAGCTCAGAGCCTAAGCACGGTCCCAAGCAGAAGCAACTACGTACCGTTTTGGTCTTCAGCACCACACACTGAAAAGGAAAGAGAAAGAAGAGGTCTGCATATGTGACGGCGTGAGCAAAGTCTCCCACCAGCCCGTCTAACTGCCGCCCTCGGACTGCTTCCCTGGCCTGGGGACCCGGCTGGCGGAGAGCCCGGCCGGACGCCCGCCCTCCCCTCACATGCTGAGAGCTCGCGCACAGCCCCTGCTGGTGCGTCTCGTCCGGTCTTAGAGAAACGGATTCCGCCGGCTCGCGTGAACAACACTGCCACGTAGGCAGGACACTGCACGGGCACAGTACCCTCTTCTATCGCTTCTGAAGCCCGCATTAGAACCGGCTGTTCCAGTCAGCCAAGGAGTCTGGATGGAGTGCCCCAGTGGGGCCATGTCCTGTTCCCCAGGACCTCACAACTCTATGGAGATTCTGGGGACACCCCCAAAGGGAAGTGAGTCTGACTGGAGGACGTCAGACATCCCAACTCTGATGAACCAGTGGGATAAGAGAGGAGAGCCTGGAATCGGACTTAACCACTAACAGCAGGCAAGGAATCAAAATGCTGATTGCAGGAGCTAAATCAGTCGGGGGGAGGGGAAGGTTCTGGGTAAAATTTTAGGAAATGAGTTTAAAACAGTCAAACACACTCCTCTTCTGCAGGACTTCTCTGCCTTTCCTATCTACCAGGAAGACCTGTTTTTTTTCCCCAAACTCAACCACAAACCTAGACAACTTACCTTATTGGGCATCGCCTAAAAATGATACTGTGTAGAATGCTTTGGGAAATGACCATAGGGAAGGCTCAGGCAGCATAGATCTATTTCCCTTGTGCCATGGGTTCACCTCTCCATCTCCCAACTGTTGAGAAGAGTACTGCTGAGGTACTAGCGGGGATGGCAGGGTGACACGGGGTGGGAAAGGCTATGGACTCAGTCCAGGAAATCTTCAGTGAAACCCAGGCTCTACAATAAAAGGATAATGCCACGGGCGCCTGGGTGGCTCAGTCAGTTGAGCATCCACTCTTGGTTTCGGCTCAGGCCATGATCTCAGGGTGGTGAGATCGAGCCCCGTGTTGGGCTCCACACTCAGCGAGGAGTCCACTTGAGATCCTTTCCCTCTGCCCCTCCCCCTACACTCATGCTCTCTCTCTCTCCCTCAAATAAATAAATCTTAAAAGGGGGGGGGCAGGTAGTGCTAATAATGCCTATTTCACAGGCAGCCCTGAGGACTAAATAAATGTTTACGGAGCCTAGCCCAGTCCTGGCACTCAACTTCAAATGGCAGCTATTATTAGCCGGTGCCAAGGTGGAAGGTGACTCCTTGCTTGGCTAAGCGCGTGGAAACCAAGTCAGGCCATGCCATCAGGCTGCAGAACGAGAGCAAGTGCCCCCCGGACAGCGCCTCACCCAGGTGCTGGAGCCCCTTCTGGTCCTTGTACAGCCGCGTCACCCTCTCCATCAGCTCCCACTTCTCGCAGCAGCCCTTGTAGTTGACGAAGTTGCGCGCCAGGATCTCTTTCAGCTGCCGCACGGTCAGACCTTCAATGTCCTCCAGGTCAGTCAGGTCAGACAGAGAGGCCCGCCGGCCCGGGACGAAGCTGTCCTCTGAGTCGACAGACTGCAATGGCAACGGTGGGATTGGTGGGCTCAGCTCTCACCTCCCAAGCTCTCTCTCCGAGGACCCCAGAGCACTCACTAGGCCGTGCCCACGGGGACTGACCTCAAGAAGAGCGGGAGCGGAGGCAGGAAGAGTGCCTGGCATGGCGCTCTGCGTGGCCAAAGAGGCCACAGTCTCTTCCTGACCCGTGGTTCCGGGCTCGGGCACGGCCAGCCCCCAACCAACCCATCAGTGGGACAAGTAGAAGGGACACCAGTGTGAGTCACATGGCCCTGATTTTGACTCCTGCACGGACTGATGCTAAACACTATGGAGCCAGCTGCTCCCCGGCCTTGGCCTGTCTGCCCCTCCATACAGGAGACCCAGCACTCCCACCGCACCAGGTTCGTGTAAAGACTAAATGTAGTAGCACAAGAAACCAGTGAGCCTGGTGCCTGTCTCTGCTCTCCCCGCTTCTTCCCTGTGGAAGGGGCAGACTTCCCTGGCGAACACGCCTCTGTGCATAACCTCGACCACAGCTTTGTGGCCCTGCTGGCTGGCCTACCACGGCTGAGGCCTGACCCCTGCTCATCCTTCCTCCTGATTTTCGGACCTCTTTCCCCTGACGATGGCTACTGTGTGCTAGCAGCAGGCGAAAAGAACAAGATGTGCACAGCAGCACCGGGAGCCCGCCCACCAGCAGCTTACAGGAAGTCAAGAGACTAGAAACAAGGGGGCCGCGAGGCTCCCCGGTCTCCACTGGGAGCTCACCACTCTGCCGTAACAACCGACAGCTTCGAAGGCTAATCTGGAAGGCTAACACTAAGCTCCACCCCTGACAACAGAACTGTAGGACTGTCATCACACACGGATTCTTCTGCACGTCTGAGTCCGCTGAGAGGGTCCTAATCACCGCCTACCACCACCAGAGAAAAGAGCAAAAGCAAAGGCACGGACCCGAGCAGAGGCCCCACCTGGGTCTCATCCTCAGCAGGTGCTCTGGCTGTGCTCTCCAGGTAGACGGGCTCCTCTTGGTCCTGAGACACATGGCCATTGGCCTGTGGGAAGAGAAAGGTGCCATCACATGCAAAGAGATGCGGGCCTCTTCCCAGCTCACTCCACATCCAAACACGTTCCCATCTCCCCAGGAACCTGGTGTCTCAAACGATAGCATTACAGAAGCCTGCTCCCTAGTACTGACTTTGTCGAGCAGAGACACAACACAAACAGATTTCAACTCCAAAACGAGAAGGTCACTAATTCTGCTCCCCACCAGGATGGCATGAGCGGCCGCTCACCGTCAGTGTGGTCTCAGCTCGAACAGGCCAAGCACGAGGAAGAGCACAGGTCCACGCCACTGCGGGACTGGTCTCTAACGGCCATCCGGTCTCTCCTGGACACCGAGCCCCACCGCCCTCCCCAGCAACTCCCACCCACTGTCCTGGGCTCTGCCCCGAGCAGCAACGGGCACCGCTTTCTTACAGATCGTTCCCACCATGTCTTTCTGCCTCCACGCTACATCTCCCTGGCTTCCTCCCCTGACACGGAGGAAACAGTTCTTAGACCCTCACCACTCTGTCCAGTCACTGCTCCCACATTCTAGAAATGGGCTCCAACCAGCAGCGCTCACTAGTACTAAGAACTATCTTGAAGCCTGGTCAAAAATTATTTTAATGCACCTAAGAATCTATTAGCCTAAAACTATAAAGACAGACGTCTATGCTTAAGGAGTTTGGAATGCTAACTTCTCAAAAGGTTTTGCCAAACAGTAGTTCAAACTGTGAGCCTCCTCGTCCCATCACCCTTTAAGCCACAAACCCCTCGCCAGACACTCTTCACCGACTGCTCCCTCCAGGCAAAGGGCCTGGTATGAGCCCGGAGCAAAGACATGTCTGAGCTCACAGGCCTTTCCTTTAGACTCTCGGAACACCAATAAAGGGAACAGTCCCAGGAAACCAGTCACCCATGGCCCCAACCACTCATTCCAGATTAGGATGCCTAACATAGAGCTGGTTAAGAAGAGGCAAATAACGGGGTGCCTGGGTGGCTCAGTCGTTAAGCGTCTGCCTTCGGCTCAGGTCATGATCCCAGGGTCCTGGGATCGAGCCCCGCATCGGGCTCCCT